TTTTCTTTTTAGAGATTAAGCAGAACCCATCACTACCACAAGGGATGGAACTCCTATTGTAAGCCATCATTACTAACAATGAACCACCATCACTGAAAACTGCAGTGGCTACTTGTAGACTATGGTTGAACTTCTACCATGTGCCACTTCTTATTCCCGTTTGCCACCAACACAGCGCTATTTGTCGTCCCATGGATCTACCATGCCGACACCCGGCCACCGTTCTCATCCCTGGCCGACCTCCATTCCTCTCATCTTTTAGCTCCTCTCTATCCAGGCTGCCTTCGGCTCCTCTAGCCATGATTGTCACTATACCGTATCTCCTCTACCTTAATTAGCCCTCAGTGACCAGAAAAAGCAGTGACGTGGCACCTAGGAAGAGCAACATGATATCTACGACTTGCACAAACTAGGAGCCCTATATTATAAGTAAATAAAAAACTAATAATACGTTTGGTTGTTACTCTAATTAAGATTTGCATGGTCTTTAGCAAAAGCTAAAATAAGTACAATTGTTTTTATGGTTATCTCCTTGAAGATTTGCCGGAACCGAAAATAAATTCATGACTCAGGCATGGTGCATGTGTGCTTTTCCTTCATTGATTCTTCATTGATTCTTCATTGATGCGACTATTACCAACACTTGTAACCATCTAACTCACGCAAGTATATTTTTTCTTATGTTTTACTAGTAACATGCTCATACGTTGTAATAGGTTGGACCCATATAATTAAAGATATGCTCGAAGGGTGATTTGGAAATATTAGATTCGGTGGTTAGTTACACAAACAGGATAGGACGCGCTGCGCATGGTGAGGAAGGGGTGGAAGGAAGACGACTCTCCTTTTACAGCACTAAAGATACATTTACTCTTGTTCGATCTTCAACTACACAGTAAATTTTAACATGAATGTTTCGTCAGGTATAACTCAACTCTAACTTTTTTCACACATGCAGGTTTTTTTTCTCACCAATCAAATTAACAGGTAGATGTTTTTTTTCCAGATACATCACTTATCAGATCACCAACCAAACGGACCCTTTGGATCGGACCTGGGTTAGAACTTGTTATACCCGATCAAAGTCAACAATGTCTAGACTGTAGACCCGCCCATTAGGAGTAGTCAGGGTTTCCCAAACCGCCGGGGCCGGGGTTACCGCGCCCCGGTGGTAAGCACGGTTACCGCGCGGTAACCGTGAAAAACCGTATAAAACCATGCAAAATTTATCAAAAATTCAAATTATTTTTAAAATTTATTTAAATTTAAGAAGGTTACCGCGGTATTTATATTACCGTACTGCCGCGGTAAGTCCGGTAAGTCTACGTACGTACCGTAACGGGGTGAGAAGAATGCCGGCCGGGTGGGTCCGCGGCATTCTTCTCACCCCGCTACGGTACGTACGTAGACAACAACCACTAATCCACTGTTGCACCGTCAACGAGTCTCCCCAATTTAACGATGCAAACGACGACACACGGCCTCTCTCACACGCCATGCAACACGCCACGGGAGACGCACTAGTGATCACGGTACACGAGAAAAACCGCATGGCCATGGAGGATTCCCCGTACCGGACTGGCTTTTGTTTTACAGCCAATTTTTTTACTCGTAGCAAAGTAAACTCACGTGTATATGCTCGCAGGGCATGCAATCTTTTTAGAAGTTTTTTTTTTGGCATTCTTTTGCTGCGCCCAGTCTGCATGTCGGAGCACGTACGCAAAGCGGCTCCCTATACACGTTACACGTACTAGTACTCCTCTCTTCTGTCCCCAAAGGCATGCATTTGTCCTCTTGCGAGGGGGGTAAATTAAAGCCCAGATTTGTATGGCTGGAAAGGTGAAAGCTAGCATGTTCCTGTTATTTTAATTCTTTTTTCTCGGAGAGAGATACGGTGCATATTCATGAAGACGGTTAACTCTCGTTTAGGAGAGATTTAAGGTCTGTCTGGAAAACTTATAGCATCTACAACTTTTTCACAGGATCTCTAACTCTTTCAAATAGTCTAAATTGTTACCTATATTCTAAAAATATATAGTCGTAGAATTAAAAAAATAAATTATAAGCAGTCAGAAACTGAAAAACCCAGCTTCTTATAATGTAGCTACCAACCAGTAAATTCTCATAATTTTAAGCTCTCCAAACGAGATCTTAGATTTCGAGAATCAGCTGGTGAAAATTTAGTTGATGAAAATATTAATAAGCAGGGAAAACAACCTTTTAGCTTCTAATTTATTTTCTAAATTATATAACTATAGCTTCTCATAATTTAGATCAAAAGCTAAATTATTTAGGAGAGATTTTTTTTTATTTAGAGAGAAGCTATAGCCATCACGAGCTTTTCTAAACAGGACCTAGGTGTACTTACAATATGAAAATTTTCAGTTGAATTAGGAATTTGTTGTTGGTTCGTCTTTTTAAAAGGTGTTGGGCAGCGTTCGCCTATTCGGTTGACTAGGCCAGTCGGTGAATAATCACTAGCCGGCGACGAACTACCCCGATCAAGAAATAAGCGGTTAATTAGTTGGTCAAAATTGGTCTGGTTAGTTAAAGTCAGTTAAACAGATCGGTTAGAGCAAGTTTAATAGTATAGCCCATTATTAGCTCTAATTTATCTATAGTCAATCTAATAGCCAATTTATACAATAGTTGCTTACTATACTACTAATATATGGTCCCACCTATCATATACACATTGCGTCTTGGAGTCCGTGTTGCAGCTGGCTACAGATCTGTAGCCTGCTGCTCTTCTCTCTCATCTTTTATCTTATTAAAATATGTTTATAGCTGGCTAATAGCCTGCTACTGTACCTTCTCTTAGGAAATAGAAATGTGGCACCGGTTAAAAATTTGGGCCAAACACGCGGAGGAGTCGAGAAAGTTCCTAGGGTTATTAAAACTTAAAAGGATCCCTTCATTCCCTCCAATGATACCGTATGGATCAGTTGAGCACTGCCACAGCCTCTCACCTTCACCTTGAGTCTCTTATGAAACCTCAATTTTATATTTCTTTTAATCATCAGTAACATATCAAATAGATAGCTACGTGTGTGCAAAATTTTATTGTTGGATATATTAGAATCACCTACTAGTAACTGACTAGTCTTCAACTGACCACCGACTAGCGTCTAGGTGAATACTGGTTAGGAATATATTTACGAGTGTATGCATATGATGTGTATACTCTTGTCTTTTCCCATAATCGTGAAATAAATATATTGGCATGTTAAACGGGAATGGATTTAATCCCTCAAAGAGATATCACCTCCTGTAGCTTTTTTCTCTCAAATATAATGTAAATGGTGATGAAAAGATTTAAAACAATAGTGGTATATGTACGTTGCATTGCATGAATCTTATCAAAATATTCTAAGAATTTTTCATAACTATTTTGATAGTATTTGATCAAATGTGGGAAAAATCTTTAGAGGGACTAAAAGAGTTTTTCAATGTCATACTACTCCCTTTATTTTCAAATAATTGATGATGGTCGCTACTCATTTTCAAACTTTGGCCACTTATATTTTTCTAAAATATATGTAAATACTAAAAATATATGCTAAATTATTAAAGTGTATTGAATACTTAATATAATTATAACTTTTGTTTATCATAGTCTCATTTTAATATAACTTGCTAAAGTTAAAATAATGGTAGTCAATACAAAACGAAGTGATAGCAGCTAAACTTGTTAGTTTTTTTTTTGGGTAAAACCTCCTCATTCGGGTTCAAGTTTTAAATTTGTATGAGTATTCCTAGCTATTTATGGCTTATTATTATTTTTTATTGATAGGCAACGTTTTAACAGAGAGTGACGTTAAAAGTCTGAAACATGCCCTAGCTAGTAGTTCTCAACAGACAGCAGATGCTAACTATAGTATCTGCTATCCCACCCCCTTAACAAGGGCCCAGCTCTGATACCAAATGATAACAATCCGGTCCAGGTGGGGTCGGCCGATGCCCAATAACTTAAGGTTGCTCGGACCCCAACAGTTCGCTCTGATACCAAATGATAACAATCCGGTCCAGGTGGGATCGGCCGAGGCACAATAACTTAAGGTTGTCCGGACCCCAATAGTTCTTTGGCACATCCACTCAGGAAAAGGCCCAATCTCCCTAAAAAACTAGTCCGATAGGGGAATGGTGGCTTCCTCCTCCCAAGCTAAGCAAGGTGGGATTATTTAGAGGCTCACACGGTCGCCGCCCGACTTTAGCGTCTCTGCCAATGGGTAATAGTTTAGGATGTCCTCATCAGTTTGGGTGACTACTGGCTAGGGCATGTTTCAAACTTTTAATTGTGGGTGCTGCAGCTTATCCTGAACTTTCATCGGGTTCAAGCATGGCTTTTTAAGGCCAGTCATTTTCAGGGTTGGCCGGTTGGGTTTGCCTGTCATTCGAGCAGGTATTATTAGTTCATGAAACAAAAGATTATTGCAAAAGCTTGGCTGTAAAGCTACAAAAACACCAAAGGAAACACTTTCATATCTGCATGTTTCGTGTGATCTGCTAAAGTAGCTTGTTCGACCGGTTCAAGTGTATTGCAAGTCATTGCAGTCAAGCTTAGACATATGGGGCAATCAGGCGATCGGCAGGATAGATTTTGGTGTCGGTTAGCGCTGAAACAAATCCCGTAGCTTTTTGTCGCATCATGCTTACCTGCTAGAGCAAGTTTAATAGTGTAGCTCACTACTGCTCTAATTTATTTATAGCCGATCTAATAGCCAATTCATATAATAGTTACTTACTATAATATTAATATATGGTCTCACCTATAATACACATGTTACGTCTTGAAGTCCGTGTTACTGCTGACTACATATCTATAGCCCACTGCTCTTTTCTTTCATCTTTTATCTCATTAAAATATATTTATAGCTGTCTAATAGTATGCTATTGTACCTGCTCGAGAAGCCCTTTTTTTTTCAAACAGTGACAACTGATGCTACCAAAAGGTTTTGCCCCGTCACACGGGTTTCTTCTGGTTCCAGGGTACATCACGCTTTCACAACTTTTTGCCAGATTCCGGCATAACATCACTAGTGTTTGCCGGACACTGACATCCCATTTTAGGTTGCAGGAATATTTATCCAGTTAGGCCTTTCAGATGTTTTAGATTTACAAAGGAAGGTGACAAGGAGACACTACAGATAAAACAATGTTCGTGTCTACATTCCAATTTGAACAGCGCGTCAACGGGCTGTGTCAAGAGGAGGCCAACCAGAAAACTGTGGTCAGAAACGACGAGGGAAAACGCAATCTGGACATTGAAGGCGCGAGCACAACTTCACCAACTGCAATTCGATGAAGATAATCCATCTACAGGATCTAGAGATCCATCTACTCTGATTCACCAGGGTGTAATCCACATTCTAATCTGACGGCTTCCAGGAGCTGAGGTGATATCACCTCCTTTTCAACTTGTTCTGTACTATTATTTCCACTTAAGCTATTCTGGGCCACATCTGCTCCCCAACCCCTGTACAAAATCACTTTGTTGGGCTCCCGCGACACTAGAACCGATCCAGTTGCTTCCTGATTCCATTGAACAATATAGAATTTCAGATTGATTCAGTATTTTTGGGGTGAACTACTCCCTGTTATAGACTATACAAACCTCTAGTTCTGAAATCAACTGCTGAATTGGAGTTCCGTCTGCTCGGTTCTTGATATTCACAATAGCAAGAGGATGCTTCTTGAAGTGTGTTTTTATTGCTTTTGCGACTCCTGTGATGACATTGTTCCTCCCTATGAAAGGAATCGGATGCTCAGCATATTAATTGAAATCTGGTGTAAACTGTATTGGGGACAAAGACTTACCAACAGCGAGTACTGGCCGTTTCTTCATTTTCAGAGCTTGCTTCCTTAGCATGAGCCTTTCTCGGTTTGAAAGTGGAGCAGCTGCGGAAGGCAACTGAGAAGATTTCTCATCCAATTTCAGCTCGTGTACAGGTGTAAGGGTTCCTACAAATTTTGAGCCACTTACTCTGTGACTATCTGAATTGTGCATCACAGAAGAACTAAGTGGACTTTGCTGCAGTCAAATCATCAGCATCAGCAGAAAATAATTGCCATGCACTGGGAAAAATCAACAATAAACTCACGTGTGTACTCTCAGATGAAGTACTTGTACTCTCAGTCAGACAGGAACTTGTAGTTTCAGACAGATCATCTGTATGCTTGCTGAAACATAACAACTTGTTCTGCAAATACAATGTGCAATGAACCATTAGTCCACCACAAAATTGTTGCGAAGAATCAAAACACACAAGAATTTTCGTAAAGGAATGGGAGGACCAGCAACCTGCATAACATCCAAGGGAACTCCAGATTTGGTTAAAACTGAGGTTCCCTCTGTTTCACTTTCACCTGAAGAACACTCTACAACCACTGACTTGGCACACTCAGGAAGAACTTCAGACACTTCCTTGACCATATATATTTAATAAACAGATAATCAGACATGATTGAATATATTGAGCCATAATGGAACTTCAGTTAAGATAATAAAATTTACTTCTTTTTTGTCCACTAATGTTCCAGAATTAACATTGAGATCAAGAATGCCTTGGTTGTGGTGGCCTGAGTTCATTCCATTAGTTGGAGTAACAGGTTGAACCTCCATTTGTTTAAAAAACTGAAGCATCATCAGTAAATTAATAATAGCATTTACAACAAAACGAATGGAAAAGGCTCAGCATTGAACAAAAAACTCACCATCTGATCCTTCAAGTAGTCTATATTCTTTGAAAGATTAAGCACATGAAGCTTCAGGGACTAAAATAAACAAGGAATATTAATTTGAGATCTAAAAAATAACTCCACAAGTGAACCACAGCAAGCTAATAGGTTTCAGTTTCACCTTATAACGCTGATACTCCACAGAACGCTTCAAAGCATCCTTTTTATTTAACAAAGATTTTGGCCTGAGAGTTGATGGCCTCTGATAGTTCTTTCCCCGATATATTATAATTGCATGTGCTTTGCTCACTCTTTCCACTGCCACCAATATACCACCACTCTCAGCCTCTAGAGTTCGAGCAGCATATTCAACATCTTTAATGTTGTGTTCTTTACATATAATTTTGACAAGTTCTCGGTACTTCCAGTGAAGGTGCATATTTTCAACAGTTCCATCAAAAACTCCTCTCCTTCCTGCAATCAATAGAAAAAAAAAAGGATGTTGAATTAAAGAAATAATAAAAAACAGTAAGATACAAGCGAATGAGGTATCAATATCGTGCAGAAATCACAGAAAGAACAGTTTGTATAGAGTCCATGGGTATGTCGCGCTCTCTTTTTGTTTATTGACCTTAGGGCTGCGGATGCTACTGCTTGGAAAGGCAATAATAGTCAAATCATGTACAGGTATAGAATGGTACAAAAGGAGGTTATGCGATGAATCACAACAGATGACCGAACTAATTCAAATATGTGCACTCCCAAAGTAACAAAAAACCACATAATACTCACACTGTCTCCACAAAAAGGATTTACAAGGATTAAAATGCCACTTGGTATGAGCTAAACAGATGAAAACTCTAGAAGTGGTAATATTACAGTCTGATAGAAGTGTTTCCCTTGGTGCTAGGCAGTAGGCACATGGCACGGCCATAGGTGGGACCTAGTGCCTAACTGCTTCCTAGGCGGGAAAAATCAGCTTGCTGACCTAGGCGGAGCGGACACCGAATGCCTAGGGGTCACCAAGGAGAACACTGTCTGGTAATCTACTTTCCTATAACTAATTTGGTAGTCAAATTAGGTAGCATTTTGACTTCTGAACAGATGCATGCTGCACAATACAAGGTTGAGGAGAATACTAACCTAGCAATAAGAATGATTTCATCTTTAAACCAACTTTCCTCAACATGTACCTCTCCTCTTCTGAGATAACCTCTCTAGTTTCAGCTCTAGAAGGCTCAGACGACATTTCTAGCTCTTCAATAAGCTTTTCAGTCTTCTCTTTCTCTGCAATTGCCTGAACAATATTTCTATATGAATTTAACTATTTCAAGTGTTTTTCTTTTCAAACTACCAAATCAAAATTATCAAGAGATGGCACTACTAGAAAAGAAAAGCAAACCTGAGATAATCTGGCCTCAACATTCTGGGCAAACACATTAAGAGATTCTGCTCTATTATCTGAAACTGCAGTTTCATCTTTATGCTTCTTTTCATAGCATTCATGCCCATCTAGTGAGACATCAGTAGCCATCTTCAGTTTAGAAGAATTTTGCGGTGTGCTTTTGTCAAAATTAAGCTTAGGGTTACTGATTGTAGAATTGCCATACTTTCTACGCTTTTCTATTGCAAGAGAGACAGCTGTGGGCAGGAAATCTTTCCCTCTGTAGAATACAATTGACTCATTATCCCTTGATAAAAGGGTCCCACCTGTCAAGCCCTGCAAGATTAAGAATGTCATGGTGGAACATAACCCCCCCCCCCCCTCCTCTCTGATTTTCTTTTGAAACTGATGATTGTAATGATAATTTCTCATAATGGAAAGTTTAGGATATAATAGGTTGAAGGCCTGGAGCCTGTGCTGAAATGGTTCACATCAGAAAGAGATACTAAAGTGTATTTTCCTAATATTTGGTGCCACATAAATCAAGGCGACACATAAAAAATATGAATCTATTGTTAAGTGCCTTCATACTGCATGTAAAATATGCATGAGTATGAGGGAACATATATCATAAAAAGAAGTGATTTTGATTCAACATGTAAAAATTCTGGGCTGCTATGGTTCAACTTCAATTATGATAGGAAATTAGGAATACAGGCAAATGATTTACATTTCAAAATTCGATGACACGTGAAAGATAAATCTGTAATGTCATCAATGTTTTATCGCAAGAATGCTCGAGAAATGTCAAATGCTATGAATAATTACATATCTACAATTAATTCCTCATAGCTGGGTTCTTTACCAACCTACCTTCAGTTTCTCAGAAATGAGATCACTATCAATGTTCTCTGCACCTCTCTTAATTGCAACCTTTGCTACCTCACATCTTTCCCATAGTTTGATCATAGATGCAGCCAACCCTTGAAGGTTACTACTTCGTCCTAGATAAATGACACCACGAAAGTAAATAACAGTGGTCCTTATCAAAGTCAAAGCCATGAAAGATATTATACAAGACAAATAACTAGAAATTACCAAGTGCGTAATGGTAGGGTAGGGGACGAGCTAGTCTCCTAAGGATTGTCATTTCTCTATCAGTTAACCTCGGTGGTACTCCTGAAGGAAGCAGACGAAAAGGCCTACGGTATCCAGGAACAATTGCTGGCAACAAATCAGCATCCACTGGAAGAGGGTCATACCCCCACCAATCAGAAAACCGTGGACCCAACCCATCCAATAATTTGTCAGCTTCCTCTGCGAGTTTGACCTCCCCAGGTAATTGTAACCGAAACTTATTTGGAGAACCAACACCAGCAACTAAGGTTGACCGAGCTCGACCACTGATCTCGCTAGGACGAGACACATTAGTGCTTGTATGTAATATTGCTTGCTGATCTTTTGTAGCACTGTTAATGCTTTGCTCTGCAGATCCAATGTCTAAATTTCCCTCAAGCGCATCAACACCAAACCGTCTAGTAAGATCATCGCCCTCCTCAGTATGATTGCTACCATGTTCTGCAGGATTATCAGAATCCTCTTCACTGCCACTTTGTTCGGAAGCTATTATAGCAAGATCCGCGTCCTCGTCATCAGAACTTGTATGCTCTGATGACTCATCCATGTCATTCTTCATTTCTCTATCATGGAAGTAAGGATACTTATAGTCAGTTCCTCTATATAATATGATGGTGCTTCCAGATCTCCAAATGACTAAGCCTCCAGTTTTTCTCTATAAAAAAACACATTGAGCATGTCAATTGCAAACTGAAAAGCGTTGAGATAGAAATGCCCTAAAACAAAAATTGAGATAGATTACTTTAAGAGAAAATCCAAGAAATGCCTTGGAATTTGGTATAATAAAATGCTTCGAAGAAGGAATGATTATGTGCATGCCAGTACACTGCTAAATGGATTCATTTCAAACAATTAAAAATAAAATATCCCTATCTTGAATCCTTGATCACTTCAAAGTTGTATCCCTTTTGAATAAACATGCTGCCATTTCCATGCTAACAGGGACTTCCGAAGTGGGCACAATCATATGCTAGCACTATATTACTATACTCAGCATCTTACCCTGTCACATTGTGCGATGAAATTCAGAATTAACATACAACTAATACTCTGTGCAATTTCAACATATAGTAGCACTCCGATGCCTTCCGGCATCCAAATTTTCTGAACGTTTTACTTACTAGGCGAGGCACAGGCGCACAGCTACAAACCTACGCTGGACTCGATTATCATATGCGCGGGGCAGCGCTCACCTCGAGAATCTCGTGCGTGCGCTTCATGTTCATGGCGGAGACGTCGTCGCACCTGATCTTCACGAGCTCCGCGTTGCGCCACCGCTCGTGTATCCCGTTCACGATCCCCTCCGTCACCCCGGCCTTCCCGACCTTGAGCCTGTTCCGCAGCCGAATCCCGGCCCCCTGAAGCCGCCGCAGCTCGTCCCTCGGCAGCGCCAGCTCCGCGGCGGACGGCGGCGCCGACGCCGCGGCGCTACTATCCCTCCCGCCGCGCCTCCTGCGGCGAGACGCGGCGGCCCCCTCCCCATCGCCCGTGGCCCAGCTCGGGTCTAGGGTGGAGCCGACGCGGTGGCGCGGGAGCTGGGCCGGCGTGGGAACGAATATCTCGCCGGGGGACGCGCCGGCGCCCGCCTCCGGCGCCGCCGGACCGGGGGCCGCCTCCGGGTGGTCGGCCTCGAGGTAGCCGAGGCTGCGGAGCTTGTCGGAGATGCGGCGGAGAGCCGACTTGGCGAGGAGCTCCGGCGAGGGGGAGGCGTGGATGGGAGGGAGGAGGAGGCGCGGCGGGGGTCGGGTTCTCGAGGCGGCGGGGGGGAGGAGAGGTGGGGAAGGGTGGGGGAGGAAGAGGAGGAGCATTTGGGTGTGGGGGAGGTGAGGGTAGTAGCGCGAGCGCGGGAGGCGCGTGGTGGGAGGGAGAAGTCGGGGTTTAACTAGCAGAGCTCGTAGTAGTAGAGGATAAGGCGTTGGGCGGACGGAGGTAGACGAAGGAGAATGTGTGGTGCTCTAAGATTCGTGCTGCTGACTGATGCCGCCAAGTGTAGGGGATACTGCTATAGTGAGTTGCCAGTTTTTTTATGTCAAAATATTTTTATTATTGGATTAGATATTTATCAATGAGATATATATATATATATATATATATATATATATATATATATATATATATATATATATATATATATATATATATATTACAGTTTCGTTAATACATTGTACACACAAATATCATGTAGGCAGTCGTAACTGGTACAGAAGCTTAAAGCAATTCGGGCTTGAGCCATCAATAGCCTAGAACAAATATCCCTTAAGCAAGTCATCGTAATCCCTCTTAAGATTCTACTGCATTCGTCTCATTTTAAGCGCAGTAATGAGTTTCCGTGTTCAACTTTAATCGTCTATCTTATTTATTTTTTTTAGAAAAAAAATAAAAAAACATAAGTCACAAATAAAGTATTGTTCATGTTTTATCATTTAATAATAATAAAATATTAACCATAAAAAAATTTCAAATAAGACAAACGATCAAAGTTCGACACGGAAACTTATGATTGTGCTTAAAATAGAACGGGGTGAGTAATAGGAAGCATGGAAAGTCTGATGATACATTTCTTTGTCTTGAACTCTGGACTTATTAAATACTAACTATATAGCGGTGGACAATGTATTGTCTTGTTTTATTAAGAACAATAATGTTAACGTGGACACATGGTTATCGCATCAACCTTGGTGTGTTTGGATAATGGAAAATGGAAGGTGGGATTGAGATTGGAAATGAATGTAGGGTTATGATTAAATGAAAGAGTGAGAATGAACAGTTAGGATTTAAAGATGTTTTTTGATGGGTGGGAAATCATTTTCGGCCCTTTCCCATTAGCCAAACGTTGCCTTAACTTAAAACATTAAAACAATAAGCTATGACGCATAAGGAGCTCTATGACCGCAACTCTTCATGTAATTTTTATCTCTAATGTTCTATATTTGTCCCGAGAAATGTAAGCACTCCACTCATTCCTTAAAAAAAAATCTAGCTCCGTTTATTCGTTCTACATTCATCCTGAAAGAATTTAACTATGTTCTTACAAGAGCATAGGAATTGCTAGGATCACCTTGGTGTCGAAAGAACCTGACTGACTCTTCGTGCAAACCTTTTCTGTTGTCACACCATCGTAGACGCAAAGGGTGTGCAGGACGGGAAACGGTGATAGGCAATGCCCTTCAACAGGCGCTCTAAGCTTTGAACCATCCTCAATGAACTCAAACAAAACATTTGAATTGAAACCTGAGGTTCTTTAATTGGAAAGATCTTAACACTGATTGAAATATTTCAAATAAAAACTTGTAAATCTGAAAATTAAAATTACAACACTTGCAAAACTAATCGTGGTGAGGGACAAACCATGTTGCGGTGAAGCTCTTACAAAGAGTCATTTTTCTGCCAACAGAAACATTTTTCACTTTCTTTAAGCTGCCAGATGTAGTAGTAGACTAAGTCAACAGAGTTGAAAGGATGACATCAAAAGTCCCCCCCCCCCCCCCCCTCCTTGTTAGCATCTGCCAACATCTATATTGCGAAATTCCCCAGTGAAGGAGCAATGCAAGATTCTAATTGACTTTGGTGTACTAATCTCTTCAGTTTGTCAGTAAAAAGAGTTTATGATTAATTACATCATATGCATGTAATAGACACTCTCGAGTGTGACAGAAGGGCTAGAATATATAACAAATCACTGATGCTGTGGCTTCATGAGAATGCTTCCTTTGCAGTCATGCAAGAGATGTTCTATGTAATAGGTATTAATATAGTTACCGTGCCTTCGCTGATCGATTTCTTGCAGTGCTGACGTTTTGTTTCACCTAACATTCTTTCAATAACCCTACAAGGTCGTGGTGACGAGCATTATCAATTGGCCGAAACTTGATCTCCACTGACTGCAAGCTCTTGCACTTGGAAGATAGCGAGTCAAGGCATGTGGAAGAAGATTTCCCCTTCGACCTGGAGTTTCCCCGCTTCCTCTTCGGCGTACCTAAGAACTGCACTAGTGATCCAATTTCAGAGGCTAAACACCAAAGGCACAAGAATTCAAACGTATCGTGTTTGAAACTCTGACAATGCGTATGTGATATTGATACGACGCAGATGGTTCATATTACCTTGCAACGGTGCAATCTAAGATGCTCCAAGTTTGGGGCGTTCCGGAGGACGCTCTTCAGCACGTAGCAGTTGGCTCCAACATCGCATTCGCTGAGAAGCAAGGTTGTCAAGCTAGGGAGCGTTGGGAATTCTTGGGATGCCTTGTCTAGCAGTGCCTGAAACAAAAGAACCAGTAAATCATTTGCAGTTATACGCAGGTTACTGAATTTCTGTCCCTCGGACCCATGCGCTGCAAACTGCAGTGAATGATGGCAATCTTAAATGCACCATCCGTTTTATATTATAAGTTATTTGATTTTTTTTCCTAATCAAACTATGTTAATTTTGACCAAATTTCTTAAAAAAAGTTTAGCAACATAGAGTATAAAATATTAAATTAGTTTTATTAAATCTAACATTAAATATATTTTAATAATATGCTTGTTTTGTGTTGAAAATACTTATAAACTAGAAATTAAAAAAAAAATAAAAGCAAACGACGTGTGCTCTGAACTGTTGAAAGATTCAAATAGAGAGAGAGCAATGGGGGATACGCAGTTACGCACAATTGTGGGGAACCCTGACAAATCTAGGTTTCTGACATTGGGGAATCGGTCGAGCATGTTGCGGGTGGATGCCAGGAAGTCGAGCTTGTGTTTGTTCATGCGCCGATTCAACTCTTGGTCCGTCTCGAGGACAGTGATCGACGCGGTGACGAGCGACGCGAGCGCCTCGCCCTCCTCCGCGGGGGCGACGCGCACCGCGGCCGCGCGCGTGCGGCTGAACGGGAGGAAGAGGCGCAGGGAGGCGACGCGGGGAGACGCGACGGTCAGCGCGTAGGGCCTCGCGGTGCGGCGGGGCACGACGGCGAGGGCGAGGCTCCTGAGCGTGGGGATGGCGATGGTGGTGGTGGGTGATGATGGCTCGTGCCCGAACGTGCAGCTCTCCATGCGCAGGTCCTCGAGGACCGGGAGGAGCTCGGCGAGCCGCCCCCCGTCGCCGGAGATGAAGCCCAGGTGCACGCCGAAGAGGTGCAGCCGCTTGAGGCGGCCGGTGCCGGCGCCGTCGCCGAGGGTGAGCGCCGGCGGCCAGTCGACCGTGCCGCCGTACTCGACGTGGATGTCGACCGACGCGGGGCGGCGCGTGAGCGCGCGGCGGACCCACCTCCCGAAGGTGATGAACCTCCCCTCGTAGAGCAGGTGCAGCCGGAACGCGTCCAGCGGCGGCGTGCCGGTGCCGCCCAGGAGCGTCGGCGACAGTATGCCGTCGGCGAAGTCCTCGAAGCCGTCGCAGTCCACCACCGGCTCTCCCTCCTCGCCCCCGCACGCGCGGCGGAACTCCCGCTGGTCGATGTCGACGCGCGGCGCCGAGCGCCACAGGCCCCGCCACCGCCGCGACAGGACGCTCGTCCGCACTGCCTGCCGGGACCCGACCAGCGCGAGGATGTCGTGCAGGAGGCAGTCCGGCAGCTCGCTCAGCCGGTCCTCCGCGCCGGCGCTTCGGGCGCGCTTGCGCGGGGGCTCGTCGGACGCCGCCGCCGCCGCCGCCGACGCCATTGGGAGATCGCGTCGCGCCGCTCCGTAAATACTTCTACTACTAGGACTCGCCACCTTGTCCGGGTTTAAGCGCGACGGCCGTGGGCCGCGCGCGTTCTCAATCTGGACTGGAGTAATAGGTGGATTCCGTCGCCGGGGGAAGATACCGTGTGTGAAAGTGAAACGGATGCAAAATCCTGGCCCATACCAGGAAATTAAACTGAGGGTGCGCTCTAAACTCCGTTTCAACTTGTCTGTTTTCTCGATTTTCAAACTGTTAAACGGTGTGTATTTTTACTAAAACAATTCTACATAGAAATTATTTATTAAAAAAATCAAATAAATAAAATTTCTAAGTTTTAATAATTAATATTTAATTAATCATATGTTAATTACAATTTTTTGTTTTGCGTTGATGACCAATATTTGAGCCCATCTAAACAAAGAAAAATTGGTTTCATACCGTCGAGTTTATATTTACAAATAGTATTGCATTCATTCTATAATACTAGGATTATTCCTTCTTTTTGAAAGATTAAGAATAAAAGGACTATAATGCCCCTGTTAAGTGAGAGTTTGTTGTGGGTGAGTTGTAGTTGGGGATAAGATATGAAGAAAGTTAAATTATAGTTGGTTGATGTGATAAATAGTACAGTGCACCACAACATCAATATCTGTTATATTGTGGGACAAGTTTGAAGGGTAGAATAATATAAGATGGATGTAGTAGCAAATTACCCATATCCCATGGGATAAAAATAAAACCGAGCGTTTTGGTTTTTATTCGGACTTTTTTATATATATTTTTCCTGATGGCCGGTTTTCTAGAAAAAAAATATTTTGTTTTCTTAAGAGGAGATGGGGGTGCAAGATCTATTTCCTCACTGATTTTTCGCATACATGTGGCCCCGGGAAAGTGAAGCGGAGAACGATTCTCCTTTACAGGGCAACATATCATATGCACACAGGCCCTCACGTGTACACACGTGCACACCAACTAAAAAATGTCACCAAAAAATCTAGAAAAAATCATACACATACTTTCAATTGTATTACACCTAGGGTTAAAATCTTAACGTCAAATTCATTATATTTTAGCCATAACAAAAAAAAACAAAAAATCTGACAGTTTTAAGGTTACAATTTTGTCAGAATTTTATCTTTTTTGTTATTCTCTATGTAGAATGAATTTGAAGATGCGACTTTGCACGTAGATGTAATACTATTGAAAGTACATGTATGAATTTTCCTAGAATTTTTTGTGATAATTTTTAGTTGGTGTACACGGTGTATACACGTGAGGGCCTGTGTACATAGGATACGCTCCCCCTTTACAGTAGCATATATAGATACCATTGAGGATTGTGCTAGCTGGAGGCTTAGAGCATGCCTCTTTGCCTCACTTAAAATGTGGTGACGTTAAAATTTGTAATGCTTATTATTTTCGATTAAATCAATGTTGCACATGCACACACCCCACTACTCACAACCAAACTCTAAACTATCACACACCCACGAGCGCATCCTCTTAACTCAAAAGAGATGGATATTACCAACAAATCCTCAATCTCACTAAATTCCTATTGAAAATACATTTACATGTATGCTTTTAACACTAAACCAAATATTCCCTCACATAGAGCAGTGTTCAGTGTTCATCTTCAACATAACTAAGAGCCAAGTAGTCAACGTGAGCCTAAGGATTATTCCATCACTTTCATAAGCCTTAACATTTTGGAAAAAGTTGAGGCCAAACAATTAATTCAAAAACTATTTTTCCGTGGTAGAAAGAAATAATACAAATAATCGATAGTGCATAGGAATCTTCGTTCATCAATAGAGGTAGCATGTGTAACGTACTAACAATGGGGTTTGCATTTCTTGTGTTGGGGTGAGCTTCTCATGGCTATAGTTGCTACCATAATCTCTACTCCAGATTTCGAGTCCCATTAGATACAGTTTTCATAAACAAACTAATAGCTAGCTAGAAGCTTTGTAGATTTTCTCGGCTACTTCTCATGATCTCCGGATCTCGCAACTAACACCACAATCTCACTTGAGGTGTGGCTTGGGATAGAAGACAAGCTAGCACACGAAGCTCGTTTTAGAAGAATATGCAATGTGAACTTAAACATGAGTTTGTCAGTCTTTATCATCACACTATTTGTTGATGGGCATTCAGTCGGATTGAGGTTTGGTCTCTCATTTTTTTATGTGAAAAATCTGGTAATCTAAAAGTGGAGATCGAAATACATTGCAAAAATAATGAAGACAGAGATATTAGGTTTAGGTATTTCGGTTTGGTCTCATTACTATAATCATCAACAAATTTAAACGATGGAAAAAAATCAAAGAAATCATAAAAAAAGGTAGAATATGGCAGTGTCACGTTCGTCCATGAGGGGCGGAGAGCGCGCGGGGCCAACACTTACCATTGACATCCGCGCTAGCCGCTAGGACAAGCCGTGCTCATGCCAACTCTAGCTCTCTCTCACTAGTCCCTCAATCCACTCTCGTCGCCCCAAGGGAGGAGAGGGCATCGGTTAGGGCACACAATGTTGACATCCACAATATAGTCGATTTGGATCTCCATCGCCGATCTCTCGATCCACCTTGTGTATATTGAGGGAAGGAAGGCATGTGACAAGGAGTCGACTAGGTTATTGCAAAGGGGGAGTACCAACTCGAGTGTGGGTGTTGGGAAGGGGGAGGGGGTGGGGATTGGTTTGGATTTTCCTCGGTGTTGGGCTGGGCTAAGGTATACATGTTGTTATTGGCCTTTTTTTAATGAAGAAAGCACAATAAATATATTAACTTTTAAGAAAATTTACAAATAAGAAGGAGAAAGGGCAACATTACAAAAGATAAATCCACGATTGCACTAAAGTCATATACATTTCCTTGAGTCTAGGTAAATGTTGACTCAAATTAGCTTTCAGATTTCTCTTCCATGCAAGGACCTAAGGTTGGACTCCATTAAAAACTAGATTATTTCGCTCCTTTCAAATACTCCCAGCAGCCAAAAGAAAGGGTTCCATGAAGCATGGGTGGGGGAAAAATGTTTTGTCGAATATCTAACCAAAATATTCGATCAGTCATTTAGTCAAAATTTGCCCACCCCTATTTGTCATGATATGTTTTTTTTTTCTAACTGGGTGTGAATTCTCCCTCACCCATATACTTGTTTCCAACCACTATTTCTAATAAAAATATGGGTCTTCAAAAAATGTTCAGTGGAGTGAGGAAAGCCCAACTGATTCATGGAGTTTAGGCGGGGTCAACTAGGGTTGAAAGTGATTCGGATAGTTTCCGTCCGACCGGACCTCTTTTTGGATTCGGATAGTTTCGGTCGCATATATCTGGAAATTTTCGAAATCGGAAACGAATTCGGTTTTTTTTCAGAAATGAAAATGAATATGATATAGGTGATATACGTCGGAATTGGATAGTGGTCGGATACTGTCCGTTATTTCCCATCAGATATATGGTGTTCTTATGCAAAAACATGTTTTTCTTTTCTCTACTTAGGTGGAACAAAAACAAACCATATGAAAAAATAACAAGGAATAGCAATTCACATACAAACAAATGGAAATATTCAATTCTGAAAAATAACCACTCAAATTTCCAAAAACTTTCAATTCAATTCTGAAAATTTTAAAAACTTTTAATTCAAAAATTGAAAAGTTTTAGTTCGAATTCAAAACTCTTAACTCAGATTTAAAAAATTCAACTCAAATTCTAGAACGTTTAATTCAATTTCGAAACTCTCAACTCTAATTGAAATGTTCAACCCAAAATTTAAAACATTCAACCATTTTTCAAAATTTTAATGTGCCTGCGAAAATTTCAGTGATACACATTAATTTATTTGTTTCATGATAACATAAATTTGTATGGAAAGTAAACACAACATTTTCTATCTCCCCCTGCCCTTACAAATAGAGATAAAATTTGAAAATGTTGATGTTTTGTTTTTGAAAACTAATGGCTACATCTCTTCCTCGATTTAAGAAGCTTACTTTGAGGGGTCTTGATATTTCAATAATTATTCGTCACCGTATTCGTTTCGATTCATATTCGCTCCATATCTATATTCGATAATATTTGATTCCGTTTTTGTATCTGGGTTTCCGATTCTGATTCCGAGAGAAAAAAAATGAAAACGAATATGATAGAGCTAGTTTCCGACCGTATTTGATCCGTTTTCATCCCTAGGGTCAACAAATCCCCCTCTTAAGGTAGCAAAGATGCAGAGAGTAAACACATGTAAGATAGATCATGGCACCAACACCTTAATAAGCCCTGTTATCGATGATATTCAATTCACAAGGTGTTACAATGTGCAGTAGCAACAAAGCATGTCCTCCAACATTCAAACATGGCTTGACATTTGACAATGCAATTACATAATGGTGTAACATCTACATATGATTTTATTATATACTAACTAGTTAGACCAATTTGGTCAAACTGTTCCATATGAAAAATAAAAGCATGCCTCCTATATTGCAATTCTTTTGTTCTACTTTCTATTGAGCTCGATTGATATTGTCTCCTCATCAATTGATCTCTTCCTCCATTGATTGTGTGGTATTTCCTTCAGAAATTCATGTAAAAGATCATGAGAAGGTTCACCGCGCGGGTGCTTGATTTCCACTGACTTCAAACTGCTGCACGCGGAAGACAATGTTGAGCTAGAGCATTTTGAAGTTTTCTCCTTCGACTGGGTTTGCCCAGCCTTCCTCCTCGATTTACCTACAAACTGTTGTACAAGGGTTGGTTTCACATCAGATGCCGAACCATGACGGTATAAGAGCTAAATGAACCATATGCTTAACTTCGCCAAATGATACCTTGCAATTGTGTAGTCTAAGCTGCTCCAGATTTGGGGCGTTCTGAAGGATGCTCCTCAACACGTGGTACTTGTATCCAATGTCACACTCGTTGAGGAGCAAGGTTGTCAAGTAGGGGAACATCGGGAATTCCTGGGATTTATTATCCAGCAGTGCCTGAAACATATGAAACCAGGAGATAATTTCAGGCTTTCAGCTACATAGACAGAGTATACAAGATTAGGCTGCAGTTTCAAACTTCAGAGTAATGAGCAGCAGTTTTCATGCTACTCTCCTGTTATGGGTGAACAGAAGTTTTTGCCATTGAAGAGAGACTTAGCAATCGGCGAAATAATTAGTAATACTTAACTGTAAAATTAAATTTGTTATGTTTCCAGGTATGTATTTGTTGTGCCAAATGAAGGATTATACTGTGATATACTTTGCAGAGAAAGGTCGGAGAGAACGAACCGTTGCATTGAGCCCAGTCAGGTCGAGATTTCTGACGCTGGTGAGGCGGCCAAGCAGGTTGCTGATGGCAACCAAGAAGTCAACCTTGAATTGGTTCACCCGTCGGTTCCGCGGATCCCCAGGATCGGTGTCAACTATGGTGATCGACGCGTCGACGAGCGATGTGAGCGGCGCGTCGGTGATCACCCTAACCCCTTCCTCCCGGCTGTACGGGAGGACGAGGCGCAGCGAGGTGAGGCCTGGAGCCGTGAGGCGCTGCTCGCGGACGAAGCAGCCGTTGATTGGGGAGACGAGGGCGAGCCGCTTGAGCGTGGGCGAGGCGATGGTGCCGTGCGCGTACGAGCACCTCTCGATGTGCAGGTCCTCGAGGGCCGGGAACTCGTCGGCGCCGAAGACGACCGTCGGGCGGAGCCCGAAGATGCGCAGGGTCTTGAGGCGGCTGACGGCGGTGACCGGGGTCAGGGGCACGGCGGGCGGCCAGCTGAAGGAGCGGCGGGGGAGGTAGTAGAGGTCGACGGTGGCGGGGCGGCGCCAGAGGGCGCGGCGGATCCACCTCTGGAAGTTGGTGGTCACCGCGTCCTCGTCCAGGCGCATCCGGAGCGCGTCCAGCTCCCGCGCGGCGCCCGGGTGGAGCGACGGCGACAGGACGCCGTCCGCGAAGTCCTCGATGCGATCCAGGCGGAACCGCGGCGGGTCGCCGTCGGCGCCCGGGAGGCGGAACGACCCCACGTCGATGACCACGACCCGCACGCCGCGCCAGAGGTTCCGCCACCGCCGCGACAGCACGCTCGTCTGCACGGCCTGGCGGGACCCGAGATGCGCCAGGATGTCCTCCAGGAGGCAGTCCGGCAGATCGCTCAGCCGGTCCTCCTCCTCCTCCCCTGCGCCGCCGCCGCCGCCGTCGACGCGGGCGCGCTTCCGCGGGGGCTCAGATGCCTCCGCCGCCGCCGCCGCCGCCGCCGCGGCGGCGGTCTGGGGGATCCCCTCCATAGGGTTCTCCGGGATTTGCGTCGCGTCGCGCTCGCGTCGCATCGCGTCGCGCTATCGTTTCGTGTTTGGGGGAGAGCCTGGCTCAAATGGGCCGGGCTTTTTATTTGTAATCACACGCGTCTCCTATTGAGAATCGGAGTCCGACTTCGCGTAGGACTCGCGGGAGGCGGCGAATGCATGCCAGTTCGCGTTTATACGCTTTACACGGGGTTTGGTCTGGCCCCACCTGTCAGTCTAACACGTTAGCGACTTTCAATGATACTGCAACCAGACAAAAGTTTTATTGCTTTGGCCATATAAATAGTTTATGCTTTTGATAAAAAAAACCACTACAAATCTATTTTAATATATAAAACTGATTGATAGAATTTAAAAAGTTTAACCCATTTTTGTTTCTGAATGTCAAATAGGAGTAACTTTTTATCAGAGAGATTATACTGTAAAAACATACGTAAGCTAAGACCAGGGCATAAAAAAGACGAAATTTGTCACGACAGTTTCCCTGGATAAATCAATTTCAGGATTTGGATTCTTAACCATATTCACTCGATGGAACCCCCAATCTCGTTGTCATTGCTTAAGACCCCCTGATTTTGAAAATAAAAAACAGCACTGTATATTTTGAAGACGAGAAAAAAATCGCAAAAAGAGACCATAAAATGAACGAAAAAAATTTGAAAATCGAGTGAAATAGGCCCAAAATCCAAAAGAGATCAAAAGAAAAGGGAAAAAAAAAAACTCTCCGCCACCAAAGCGAGTCCCTCCCCCTCCCGTCTCGAGCGCCGGTAAACTCCACGCCTCCAATCGGCCAATCGCCAATTCGCAATCCATTCCCCCCGAAACCCTAACCGGCGCCTCTCCTCCACGCGCCGCGCCGCCTCCCGCTCCTCCCTCCCAGCAGCGCCGCCGTCGTCGTCCCTCTCACCGGCGGGTGGCGGCGATGGCCTCCTCGGCGTCGTCATCCAGGCACCAGGTCACCATCACCCTCGGCCGCAGCGGTCAGGTGAGAAGACGTCACGTCGGATCCGATTCTCTCTAATTAATATACTGCGTTTTGATGCCCCGGTCGTGGATTCGATTAGCGACGAAATCCGAATGATCCCATCGATGGAATCGAGGTGCGACCGCTTTGCTTCGCTTTTTAGTAAATGTAGCTGTGGCATATGTGGGGAATCGATAGTCGCAATGGTTCGCTGATATTTGCTTCGATTAAGGTGTTTGGTGCCGTAGATCGAGGATAGGACGCTGGATGCAGTTCTGCTCTGTGTTGATTGATTGTTGAAGTCTAAAATCAGGTGCTGTTTTTTGAGATTACGATTTCACAATGTGCGGAAGGTATCGCTAGATGTGTTGGAAAAAAAAGTTGATAATTCTATAGGTGAAAAGCGTGAACAAACATGAGGTGTATGGATAATCCAATCTGAAATTTATGAGTTTTAGTTTAGGAGAGGAGTCTCTCGATCTATTGCAGTTAGAGTAGCTATTTAGTCCAGGGATAGTAATTGTTGTGATGGGTGCATAGTTGGATGGGATGATGAGTGCGCGCCAATGTGGATTTTGATGTGATTACGTTGCTAATATACACATCTATGAAATGAAACATACTTGAATGACTGAAAATAAAAAGAGAGGACAAGAAATTAGAAAGGCTCAGCAGATGTTTTCTTGTAACTTTTGCTTAATAGTATGCCCTATTCTGTTCTACCCTGTTGGCTATATTGATTATGATTATCCGTTATTGCATACTCTGAATCCAAAACTTATATGCTGTTGATGATAATTCACTAGAACGCATGTAAACATAATCTCATTTCAGTTTGCATTTTTACCATTCTTATCTGAATAGCTTAGGCTACCTATTCCTTATGTTTATATTGATCCTTTGAAACTATAGAAAGTTTGTAGATATCCTGAACTTGGTGGGTTAAGGGGGGTGTTTGGATCCTAGGCAAGAGCGAAACTAGCCTTGCTTGGCAAGGACAGCTGTTTGGTAGATGCAAACTAATCTTGCTTTGCCAGGCAAAGTGGCCAATAACTGCCAGCATATCCTTGCCAACCGTCAAAAGCCAATTCAGCTCTCCCATGAAACAACACAGTGTGCCCATCCTGTGGTGTGCATGCAGTCAAAGAAGTGCTACAACCGTCCGGAGATTGTGCTGGCAAGCAGTAAGGTGTTTGAACCAAACAAGCAGACTTGCTTCTTTGAGCGAGAGATCAAACGGGTTAGCCTATCTTAGCCTGGCTATGAGTGGAGGATCAAAACATGCTCTAATTCATTCCTGTTTTCAAGCTATTCTATGATGTGAAATTGTTAATGTAGCAGGCTTGATACGCATGCCTTGTGTTGCTCATTTGTTTTTGCCCTTTTTGAAGTCCATCAGTTATTCAGTTTCAGCTTCTTCATCTAACTTTTGTTTGTTTCAGGTTGTCAAAAGGCGAGCTGTATCTGACATTGATAATGATGATGGTGTGCACTTAGGAAGAAAACGATCTGTGAGGGACAGACTAGGAAATAATATGGTTGGTTCTGAGTCGTATGATGGCCAGCAGCGTAACAAAAGGTATCTGTCTTGGACCTACAAAGTTAATTGTGGGAAAAGCCTTTCTTGCCCGACAACTCTTGGCTCCATCTATTTTTCATCCCTCAGCTAGAAAATCACTAAAATCTGCCCCTCAACCCTGAGAACCAGTTGAAATATGCTCTTCCACCCTATTTGATTGTTGTTTTGACTGAAATGGTGTGCTAGTATGATCCAATGTGGTGGTGGGGTCTGTTTTGTCACTGGAGGAGAGAATAAGAGGAAAATGTTGTTTCGATTGCCACCAATGACATGTGGGCCTGACTACCACCACATACTAACTAGATAACAGGGGCTGTGAATAGTATTGCAGAAACTATAGCAAACTACGAGTATTGTTTTGTGCATGTTGAGTGTCCTTTGATTGTTATGCACCCCCTATTATGTGTCATGGATCAGATATGTGTTACTAAACATGTCATTGGTTAATTAAGTTCGACCAGTTGATCATTTAGCATGTATATTTGAATTACAACTGTTGGATCAATAATTTATCAAATTTGTTAATAACACTCTAATATTGTATGGAGTATTGAGCGGTTTACTTTCATTTATGTTTGTACTTGATACTTAATAGCAGAGCAGTTTTCTGTTTGTTGATTGCGGTACCATTTGCTCTCTCATTCGTGTTAGCTGATCTAGAGTCTAGACATGCGGACATGCACAAGCTTTTTTTATTTTGCTCAACAAGTGTTCCTACATTTATAAGTCAATAACAATTATGCTTTATTTGATAGCTTTGGTCTGTTATGTTATTCTGTGTTCCTTAGAAAGTAATTGCTTACTATACCATTTACAAGATGATATAATTAGATATATCATGTTAGTTTCGTTATCTCCCTTGCATTCCGATAGATATGATTGTTTCAATCCTAATCAATTGCTTAGATATTTTACTTTCTCATGCCAGAAATTTTTTACTCACTTTTCAGACGACAGATAGAAACCAATGGTTTGCAGCATGGAGATAATGGTACGGGTGATGATGAACACTTCGTTTTCTTGCTTATCCACTAAAATGTAAATGACCCCTGTTTGACAATGATATTTTGTGCATACCAATATACCACATAAAGATTGCCAGGTCGGTAGGGATGATTTGAGATTGAAGCTTATGAAGAAAGGCTTGTCTAGCAATGGTGGTGCAGAACAGAATGGAGTGGATCTCCGTGAAAAGCTTTCCAGGAAACCTAAGAATATACGGAGGTATGATGCAAGAGGACATGTTCCAGAATCAAGGTCTAGATATGACGGAAGAGATAAAATTCCAGAATTAAGGTCAAGATATGGCATGAGAGAGAGGCTCCCTGAGCCAAGGACATCTGCTCTTCCTAGTCGAATTCCTTCTGCAAGAAGCATGGATGATCTGTTGAAGTTGGACTCTTCAAGAGAAGCTTATTCCTCGTGGTCTGGTAATTTGAGGCACAGGTCCCCTGAAAAACTTAAAAGTGCTCGCAGAGATATGTCTCCCTCAAGAACATATGATCATATTCGTTCCATGCCACCCATTAGATCTGCTGGTACCTCAAGGACTTCAGGTCTCATCACTAGAGACGCTCCTGATGCATTAAGAACTCAACCTTATGCTGGCAAGTCTACCATTTCTATTGATACAACTCAGCCAGCAAATGGAGTTGCTTCATCTGCTACAGTGATGCCTACAGCTCCTGTGATGGTTTGTATTTTGTACTTCCTCTTGTATATTTAATTTAGTCATGAGTCTGAGTAAAAAGCAAAACTTAGCTAAATTAGTTTCATTATTTATTCTTGGCATTTGGAATTATTTTGAACCATGTGTTCTGTTTTATATTTATTATTGAATAAAAAGTTACCTTAAGAAAGATATATCTGTAATAATAAGGTTCATCTTGTAGTCGTTTGTTACTACTGCATTGGAACCAGAAGACCTTTAGTCACATTGTTTAAGCATGATCTTTTGCATTTACTTGCTGGTACAGATCATACAGTACAACTTCCATTTGTGACAACGGACAACACTCTGCTTCCATTCAATATGATATGATAACTTTAGTTATCCGTATAAGAGCTCAACTAGTTATGCTTGTAACTAGCTGAGGTGCTCTACTAATTTTATTAGCGAGTTTCTGATTTTGTGTTTTCTTAACTATCATTTGTTCTTGCAATTCTCTGACATTGCTGTATGCAATTTTGCAGCCAGAAGTACCGCTAACAGTTACTGGGTTGCTGAATTCACTAGGACTTGAGAAGTATGTCTTCCTCTTCCATGCTGAAGAGGTGATTGACCATTACTGATTCATTTCCAACCTTAAACCTAATTATGGTTCTAATATGATTGCTATATTTATGGTGTTCTTTTTTGTGGATAATCATTTCTGTTAACCATGGAGTACCTTACTGGCTCATGTATTAGTATTTGAATGCCTTTTGTATTTGACCTTTTGCTTGCTACGGGTTATTTGGTTTCTACTTTCTGAAAAAAGCTCTTGTGTTCTTTCCTGTAAGCTATTCATTAGCAGCTTTGTTTATACTCACGCACACAATTATTCACTACATGCTGCATGTTCCAAGTGTATGTGGGTCACCACCATAAGCATTTTTTTAGGTCATGCAATATCCAGTAAGCATATGCCTGTTTTAGTGAGTACTTATGCATGTGTTCAAGCTAATAGTAAGTTTTTTGAGTGTTCACTGGCGATGCCAATGTTTCTTTCCTTATTGTTTATTATTTGTTTGCCCACAGGTGGATATGGCTGCATTGAGTCAGATGGGAGACAGTGACCTGAAGGAAATAGGGGTACCAATGGTAAGATGTACTTTTTATTCATACTAGCATCTTTACATATATGTACTCTCTCCATTTCATATTATAAGTCGTTTGACTTAGTCAATATTCTTTAAGTTTGATCAATTTTGTAGAAAAATATATTAACATTTTCAATACAAAACAAACATATTTGGTATTGTAAATGTTAGTATTTTTTTTCTATAAACTTGGTCAAACCTAAAGAGCTTTGACTAAGAAAAAAGTCGAACGACTTATAGTATGAAATAGAGGGAGTAGAAATGTTCTAGTTCTGAGTATTTTGTTACTGAAGTACTATTGTTCTTATCATTGGTTTGAATTATTATCTGGATACTGCATAATGGACTGTGAATCTGTGATTAGAGTTAGTTTGAATCGTCAAGTCAAAAGGACCTGCAAACTATATCAATCACTCATTTAGTACATAACAGATTAGTGCACCAGCCTACCAGAGCTTGTCTCGATGAGAGTAGATTATTGTGTCTCACTAAAAGTTTCCACTCCAAGAATCCAATTCATTCAAGCTGGTCACGTTTGCTCAACTTTCGAACATAATGGGTTACACAGGGCTGTGGCATGCAGTGCTGCCTAATATTTGTGCTAGCAACTTGCCATCTCATCACATGCCAGCAAGTATAACATTTTAATGTCAAGCCTGATTTGTAAAACTATGATTCTGTTTGTGTATTTAGACATGTGTTGTAACACAATCCATGTTATAGGTCCACCATCTCATTTAACTACTATTGCAAGGATGTGTTGCACTATATGCTGTGTTTTCCTGAAGTCTGCTAGCATGCTTAATTAATTGAACCCCACGAAATGGGAGGTCTCCTTTCACCTAGAGCATCTAGCAGAGATTATCAGCATCTCAAACATGCTAGTGTTATTTGCAGTAATTTTGACTCGTGGAATATTATTTGATGGATCAGGGTCCTAGAAAGAAGATTCTCCAGGCAGTGGCACCTTATTCAAAACGGCGTAGATGAACAGCATGCTCAGGAACTTGGGGCGTTCGTGGGCAATGACAATTTATTGGTGTAAGCTGCTTCATTGCAGATCTTGTATATCCCAATGGTCTAGTGCTCTAGTCAATCCGTTTCATTGCTGATAGATCAACGCATCGCTTTTCTTGGCATGCATAATCTTATCTGTCAGCTGATGATCCCAATCCTGTTATTCACGACCTGCCCCTTGTGTAGCAGGATCTGAAACATGGATATGTAGCTTTGCTACACTAACCAGTCAGTTTTTTCTTCCTCTTTGGGAATTGGGAACATCGATGACCTGTAATCGAAATCCCATGCTTTATGACCTTGGGAGCGTTGGCAATTGAGTTTACTGGAACATACTAGTGTTAAGATTGTGTACAGAATGCGAAACAGACCGTTGTGTTTTTTGTTAAGTATTTTCGGTGTTAATACCCTTCCTGTTTACCTCGGTTGCTAGTTTGTACGCGTAAGTCCGTCATGGTCTATAATTGTGTGCTGAAGCTATAATGGTATAATTCTCCTGTAGAATGATAATCTTTGGTCACTGTACAAAAAAATGCACTGACGGATGGTTGCATGTGTCTCGTTTATATACATAGGCCAAACCCCGTGCACATCTGTCAATTGGGAGCCACCAGCTCTAATGGGCGTTCAGTACGAGCAAATTAGTACGGAGTACTATACCTTAAGCTCGGTCCTAATTTGGCAAATTATTGCGCATTTACGCCAACTGTTCCCTCGAGGCGACCATGAACATCGTACCTAATTACTGCTAATCCAGATTATAACAAGAAAGGAGTGGGATCTACTATTGCTGCAGCACCCAGATGCTTCCTGTCCCTGCCGAATTAATCATCAGGATAGGATGCTTCATGCTTCGGCTCTTTAACGGCGCTACCTGGCCTTCGTTGTCAGCCGATCAACAACGCAACCAAAAGCTCCCACCCGACAAGTACCGGCCTTGCACTGTTTCATCGGTCTAGAGCAGCAGAGCAACCCACAGGTTGGCCGATTTATTATGCCCCGTGCTGGTGCTGCGCTTCAACCGCTCGGTGGGAAGAGTACGAAGCAAATGCCGCCTTTCGCCTCCATGTGCGCAGCGGGCGGCTATCCCGCTTGTTGTGGTGGATTGGTGTTTTTTACAGCACGAGAGGCAATCCACCGTTTGTTTTTTCTGCTCGCAGCTGGGGCTCGGTGGCGTGGCTTTTCACGCGAGATTAAGCTTTTTTTTCTAATAAGCGCGTAATTGAGCCGGTTTGGACAACGACATCGACATGAACATCTTTCCTATTGTAGGATGTAGGGACGTACATGGTTAACGATAATGACATGTAGTAACAGCAAAGCTGAGAACACCAACGTTGAGTCCCGGCCTTGTTCACCCTCCCTCACCTTCCACTGCGTGTAGAGTATCATCACAATTTCGACGTAAACACATCACAAATTCAGACAAAGCTCGTTGAATCCAAAATCCTAATAAGTTGCCAGATTTTGGCCGCACCATTACACACGAGGAGACCGAATCAGATGATCAGAGGACGTCGCAGTGCCGCCTGACGACGCCCTGGCGGCCAGTCTTGACGCCGACGGCGCCGAGCTTCTGCATCGCCGCGGCGAAGTCCTCGAAGAAGGCCGTCCGGTTGTCGGCGTAGCGCTGGACGAACACCCTCGTCGCCGGGTACTCCCACAGCGCGGCGTCGGAGGCGAGCAGGCCGAGCCCGCGCGGCAGGTTCTTGAAGTAGACCTCGTCGAACTTGCCCGGTGTCATGATGTCGTTGAAGATGGAGATGGTCGGGTCGCTCCTGTAGTTGGCGCAGGAGCTCTGCAGCGCGCGCGCGAACGCCGGGTTCAGCGACGGGTCGTACCCGTCGGCGCTCCTGAAGCTGTACAGCCTGTGCGCGAACTCGCCGCAGTGGGAGAACCCCACGGTGTGCGCGCCGGCGAGCGCCACGAGCTCCCGCGGCGTGAACCCCTTGCGCGCGAACAGCACCGCCATGGCGCGCGCGGACATGTTGGTGCGCGGGAGGTTCCCCTCGACGTCGCGCGCGTCGGACCGGCGCGCGTCGCGGCGGCCCAGCGCGACGGGGAACCGGGGCCCGCCGAGGATGCCCACGAGGTCGCGCGCCGCCAGCGCGAGGATGTCGGCGCAGGAGACGGTCCCCGGGCAGGCCACCTCGAGCGCGACCTTGGCGCGCGCCACCACGTCGAAGGAGTCGCCCGGGAGGGAGAGGTTGATCTCCGCGGCGCGCTCGGGCGACCGGTCGGCGGAGAGCGGGGAGACGAGGACCGAGGCGTCGCACCCCCCGACGAAGCAGTCGTGGAAGAAGAGGCGGAGCGTGCCCGCCGCCGTGGACGGGTTGGCGCGCTGCTTGGCGGCGACGACGTCCGCGACGATCCGCTCCACGCGCGGGCAGCTGTGGCGGTAGTAGTTGGGGGACAGCCTCCCCGCCGCCCCCGCGCCGCCGCCGCCTCCGCCGCGCGCGGCGACGAGGCCGGCGGCGAGGGCTAGGAGGGCGCAGCGGAGGAGAAGCGCGCCCATTGGCGGCGGCGGCGGCGGTGATTCTTGGCTCGATTTGGGGGAGGAGAGAGAGGGGGGAAAGGTGGTGGAGAGAGAGAGATAGAAAGAGAGGAGGTGAGGGGGATTAGTGGAGAGTGGGAGTGTAGTGGAGAGTGAATTAATTGCTGGGGTTTAAGGGGTGGAGGCGGTAGTACGCGGTGGATTGTAAAGACGGGAGAGCAGCTCGAGGCCGGGAACGGACGGATGTTCCTCCTCTGCTTGCGGCGCCATTTCAGCATATACAGTTTTTCTTTACTTTTACCAACGGAAACAGTCTCAAATTACTACTAGTACTTACTTTTAGTACTTGCAGACTGTTAAAATGACTCATCATCATGGTAGTAGTATACATGATCCGTCTTACTCGAGCAGATAATGATGATGGGAAGAAGAACGATAGCTCCAATATTAATTGGTGCGAAACGTAGCCAGCGGCCACATAGCACGCTGCACGCCATATATACTTTGTGTGGCCTGGCCATACGCATCTGGTGCATGGGATGGGAAGCCCTGCACATGCACTAGACTAAACTGAAAGCTACCCCCAACGTGTCCTGGAGATTTTACGCTCCCATCCTAGCTTCAGTAGCCTGTGTGGGCTGTGGTGTGGACCTGATCGTTACGTGCAAATTTCTTTGTCCGGATATGCCTTCGTTTCGTTTTGACTCTTATAATTTTAACCTTCCAACAAAACTCCCCAGATTAGAGCATCTCCAAGAGACTAGCCAAATGACTCTACAAGCTAAAATTTGGCTAACTTGGACAAAAAAATCTACTCCAACAGACTAGCCAAATAACTCTCCAAGCTATCCGGCTGGCTAAATTCCCCTCCTCACTGGCCAAAGTTGGCCAGCCAGGACGGCTTGCCATCTGGTGTGCATCCCACCCTCTATCCTATCTCTCCCCCTTTCCCCATCCGCCCCATCCGCGCAACGCCGCCGCCGGACGTCCTCCTAGCACTCCATCTGCCCAGCGCCGCCGCCCCATCCTCCCGGCCCCGGCGCCGCGTCGATGTTCTCCCGGCTCATGCTCTTCTCGTCACCGGCGTCGTCTCCGCCAACTCGGCCCCCATCGTCGGCACCGCCGCCCGCCTCGGCAAAGCAGTTAGCGGTGGCGGCGGCCAAATCCTCGTCAAAGCTGCAACCCCCATCACCGTCTCGACCACCGCCGATCTCGTGTGGCGACCCCCTCCGTGGCTCCGTCGAACTCCTCCCGCGGCCGCCTCATCCGCATGCACGCGGGCTCATGTGTGAAAGGAAAGAAGTAGTAGAGACTGACGTGTGGGACCCACCGTTAAATTGGAGAATGGGATGGAGAGACTGTTGAAGTAAAAGGTAATTATAACTAGCTACTTTTTTTGATAGTTGGCTAAATAGACATATGAAGAGTCTAAAATAGCTAATCTGTTAGAGATACTCTAACGTTACGCTTCAGTGGAGTAGCGATCTAGCAGCGGTAGGTAACTAGCCTAGCGCGGTACTGTTGCTTCACTGATCGACAACGGCAGGCTGCATTTGCGCTGCTGTACGTAGTGCTGTTATGTGTGGCCAGTACGGCAGCACCGTTGCTGGTGTGGGTGCGTTCCACGGAGAAAAAAAAAGAAGTGCGCTCTTCACGGGCAGCACCGAAGAAGATCGTTGTTGCGACATGGCAAAGCCGCAGACAAAGACTCCGAGAGAGGAGCACGAGGAGCAGTAGCGCGGAAGCCGCCGCCCCGGTCACCCGGCCGCGCGCGCGCGCGCGCCCCTCTCTGCGCGCATCACGTATAACCGCGCGCGCGATCGACGCGGCCGCCGGAAACGGATGGATGCAGGCAAACTGGCTGCGAGAGGTGCTTGGGGTTCACACCGGGCCCGGTCGCAGCTTGTTTTGGTGGTCTCCAGCTGTGTGGTTTTAGTGCGTCTTCTTTCGGCCGTGGAGGCCGGGTAGCGTAGCGTAGGCTAGGTATGGACAAACGGGAGAGAATCATCACAAGGGGAGCAGAGCACTAGCCCTAAGGCCATCACCAATGTATATGGCAAATTGATCCATATAGATGGGACTCACATAAATAATTTATCCCTATAGTAATCTCTACAATGTATATAGATATAATGTATCATTAGAAGAAGAGAGAGGAGCAGAGATAGATAATATAATTTATTTCATATGGGTAGTCCATATGCATATGGGTATCTTTTGCTATTTTTTTTATATGGACTAGTTGCACAATAGTAATAGGTGTAATAGGTGGCTGAATGGAATATTCTATTGCTTATGGACTACTTTTACACCACATTGTGATGCCCTAATGGTTTACTACTGCTTTGGAGTTTGAAGCCATACTTAGCGCACACGCCTCAGGGTTCACATGACTACTCCCTCCGTCCCAAAAAAGACAAACACTAATTTCCGTGCCCAACATTTGACCGTCCGTCTTATTTGAAAAAATTATGAAAAAAGTTAAAAAGACAAGTCACGCATAAAATATTAATCATGTTTTATCATCTAACAACAATGAAAATACGAATTATAAAAAAATTCATATAAGACGAACAGTTAAAGTTGGACACGGAAACCTAGGGTTTGCCTTTTTTCAGGACGGAGGGAGTATACATTACTCCATCCGTCCAAAATACAAGAGATTTTAGGTAGATAAAACATATTACCTTTGTTTTTTAAATAGATAACGCTATTGATTTTTTTCTCACATGTTTGACCATTCGTCTTATTCAAAAAATTTACGCAATTATAATTTATTCTGTTATGAGTTGTTTTATCACTCATAGTACTTTAAGTGTGATTTATATCTTATACATTTGCATAAAATTTTTGAATAAGATGAATGATCAAATATATAAGAAAAAAGTTAACGACGTCATCTATTAAAAAAAGAGGGAGTACATCCTCCGTCTAAAAAAATTAATCTCATACTAAAATAGGATACATTCTAGGAGGCATAAATTGTTCAGGGGACCGACCAGCCAACCCGGCTCTCGTATGCACGCACGGCAGCATGTGCCAACAAAACGTCTCATCTGTGGATGTAAATTAATTTGCCCGTGTTTCACAGCGGTACAACACCTCCACTGTCAATGCCAGCTGTTCGTTAACATAACATCAACAAGAGAAAGAGAGAGAGAGGGAAAAAAAAACGTGCCCCGACGAGAAGCTGCGACCTGGGAATGCCCAAAACCGAAGTGCGACCGAGCAGACGACGCATCGCAGCACCCACCACCAGAACGCGGCGGCCCAACGACAGCTTTGCTGTGCTACTGCAGCGATCCGCGGCTTCAGTTCCAGACCGGGACGACTCCGTCTTGACGCGTCCCCTCTCGCGGTTGGGTGGGACGATGTGCGGACTGTGAGGCGTACGCGGGTGGGTGGGAGGACATGCGGCGACCGTGGGGCGCATGGGCCTGGATTCCGCACCGCGTCCAAAACAAATTTTTGGACCACCAACGCCGTGGCCTGTAGTGTTTCTCGCGAGGATTCAGGCCTTCAGCCTGATACGGCCCGCGCAACGTAGTGGGCTTTCAACATGTCAACTACCAGACTTAACGAAGCAAACTCACTGCTCCCAATGGCCAGGACACGCGAGATTGCGAGTAGGCGAGTTGCAATGGCCGGGACACCGCATTCCCAATGGCTGGTCAGCTGGTGCGTCGTACTTCTGCTGCGCATGAGCAGTGGTCACTGGTCAATGGAGACACATTCAGCCGAAAATGGTTGGTGTCACGACTACCGGTGTTTGCATCCACGAATCGTACGTGACACATTGTGTTTGCAACCAACCACGATGAACGTTCTGGATCTTGGGCTAAGCAACCACAGCAGCACAAACGGACATGGCACCAGTGACAAAACTTGGTGGAAGTTGGTAGCGTTACTCCCCCCGTGCCTCCTCTTTTTACTCCCATAGTATTCCACGACTTTTAGCTTAAAGATAGTACTCCTCCACTACTACACTGTAGTACATGGACAAGCATATCCGCGGTCCTGGCAACACGACAACGCATGCGACACAAGGACTGACAGAGTGTATGTACATGGTGATAATGCAGACGGTACGTGCAGCATTTGCAGTGTGTGCTATGGATGGATTGGTGGAGGCTTGGAGCTGGGACCGGAGGCTAAAGTTTTTCTTTTTCTTCGAGTTTTTCTTTGCTTTGGATGCATCATGCATGTTTATCCTCCGTGAAGATTCCTCTCGCGCTTTCTCGTTAATTGCTCATGATCTCAGTTGACAACTTGGCATGCCTCCTGTCTCCACGATCTTGTGGAGTTTGTCCCTATCACAACTTCGTAGTGGCACGGTGGGTTTTGGTGAACAACGCGTGCAAGATTTGTATTACTCTCTTCCTTTCCAATTTGTTATAAATGGTAGTGAGAACAAGATTGCATCGTTTCTTTTACAATTAAACCTCATTGATCATTTTTATTTAAAATTAAACCTCACCGGTCAAAGTTTTATATTAACCATACCACGATATCATTTATTCATACACAGATAAACGAACAGATCATATATATCTATAAAGTTCATACCCACTAAGTATAGTTAATGCTAATTCTCTCTTCTCTAATGATGTCACATTATCCTAATTGTTTTTAGTTTTTTGATGATTCGTCAAGGGTGTAAATTGCTTCTCTTCACATCACCTCAATTTAAGCTTTTAGATGATTCATAAAGGGTATAAATTACATCTCTTCCATCCAAAAGACACACCATACAATCCAATTATTTATAATCTATGGATAATTGATAAAGGTAAAAAAAATGGGGTACCATCTAGTATATAGTACAACAATGACTCTTGCACACGTAAACAACAAAGATGTCATGGACTTGAACACGAATAGATATCGGTTAAATGATGATTAATTTAAAATAATCTCAAAAATATTTAGAGATGATTAAATTGGGACGGAGACATGATCAAATTGATTAGGATGGAGGGTAGTACATCGGTTATTCGGTTTCACGTGAACATCGAGAAAAGTTTTTTTTTTCCAGGCTAATTCCGACCAGAAGTCTCTGTTTTTCCACCAACAGCTCATGCTGTTATGGAAAAAGCATTTCCTCTACCCCAACATGTTAACCCATCGTCCCCATCCCAGAGTTACTGACCAGAAAAGGGCGCAGATATCGCAGAGCATTGTCTCGAGCAAGAACACTCCTTCGAACATGTGAAGCAAGCGAGACCAAAATATATCAAGCGTGATTCAAGCCGAGATGGATTTCACTAGTCCTTTTTTACACAACAAAACATACTAGAGGTCCAGAATACTAACAGTAACAGCTCGTCAACACCCTCTCTTCTCTCAGGAAGAAAAAAAAAGAAAAAGAAAAAAGGATAACTCTGGAAAGACAGAAACCCAACGGACAACACCAACTACTCAACTAGGAGCAATGCAAAGCTAAATTAAGCTAGATCTAGGCAGGCAGACGGATCGTATTCGTGCGCGCTTAGCTCACGGGCACTTGGTCATGTTGTTGTGCGAGACCCAGTCGGTGTAGCACCTGCCGCAGGTCTCCCGGTTGCCGGCCGTGCCCGCCGGGACGCAGCGGCACGCGCTGCAGCACGTGAGGCAGGAGCGGCTGCACCGCTTCTTGTGCGAGTGCTCGCTGCACCGCGCGTCGCACGCCCCCACGCAGTCTGCCACCAAACCAACCAACCAAGCGCGCCAGGTTATCATCAGTAGCACAATGAAATGAGCTGCCTCGGGTTGTTCAGGCAAATGTGGGCACCGTGCAGTACATACCTTTGCCGGGGTCTACGATCTTGTGGGGAGGCGGCCCAAGGGGAGGAGCCGGAGGGTAGTCTGCGGCCTACAAAATACAAGCAACCATGCATTCGGCCAACTATTAGAGCACAAGAAGAGAACACATGAATGTGTGTGTTTATGCAGCTAGTTGTGCATTTGTGTGTGCTTTTACCTTGATGGTGTTGAGGAGGAGGAGAGACGCCAGGAGGGCGAACACCGCGAGCTTGCCGGGAGCCATGGCGACGGCGGCCGGCCGGCGGGCGAGGACGGGCCGAGGTAGAGCTTCTCTTGATGGAGAGAGGAGGAGGGGCCTTGAGTGATTGATGAGTGGCTGGCTGGCTGGCAGTGTGCTGGGAGGGCAGTGAGGCGGGTTAAATAGAGTGAGCAGCTAGCAAAGCAGGGGAGTGAAGGAGGCTGGAGAGTGGCAGTGGCACAGTGTGTGGGAAGTGTCAGGGTAGGGGTGAACGTGGCCGTGGTCAAGGGCTCAAGGCGCCAGGTTGGCTCCGGTCGGAGTGAATGCATGCATGCAGTCAGTCCGTCAGTCACTCGCCAGTACTCCCTCCGTCAAAAAAAAAAAAAAAAAAAAGACAAATCCTAGTTTCCGTGATCAACGTTTGACCGTCCGTCTTATTTAAAAAAATTATAAAAAAATTAAAAAGACAAGTCACACATAAAATATTAATCATGTTTTATCATCTAACAAAAATGAAAATATGAATTATAAAAATTTTTTATATAAGACGGACAGTTAAATTTAGACACGAAAATTCAGGGTTTGCCTTTTTTTACAGAGGGAGTAGCTTTGACACGTACGGAAAAGGTGAGTAAACAACGTTCACTGGGCGGCATATGTTAAAACATATCATACTTTACGTGTGACCGTTTTTTTAAAAAAATTATATAAATTTTTAAATAAAGCGGATGGTTAAACGTTGGAAAAAAACCTAAAATTATGTTTTTTTAACAGAGAGAGTATATTGACTAGAAATGTGACAAGTTATAATAAAAAAATTACGACTATGTTATATAGAGATATAAGTTAAAAGAAAATATGGCATGTTATAAGTGTGGCGATAAACCAAAATATCAAGATGCCTAGCCATCCTTGTAGTGACATCGCAAGCAAACAAGCTGCTACTGCTCCTCTTGCTTGAGGAGGAAATGCTACGTGTCCTCGTCTCTATTAGAGACACGACTAGCGACTAGCACGATGAGTTGACCGGCAATGTGCTATCAAAAACTAAGAAGTGGAGATGACAATTGAAGGATGGGGATGGAGAGAAATTGTGAGGGAGTGATACGGTTCTAACTTTAAAATATTACAATAGCATCTAACAGATTTTCTAAATAGTAATATTATTTTTCTAATATAATATATTTACGATGATATAGATCTAATTAATCCTTAGTTTTTATAGTATTTGTTGGCTATAAGTATGATGTGTCATGGCAAAAGTTTGTAAGTACTTTGCTTTAGAAAAAATGTGATGTTACAAATGTGACAACAAATCAAACACTAGTTTTACTTGATGAAAAAGCCTAGCCATAAGTTTAGCAAATTGTAGCATCTAAACAAAACACCCCGGTATCGTAGGGCACCACACTCTTCTGTGCAAAGCTAGTAGTCCTTCAGTTTTAACTTTAGAACAAATAGCAGAGGACAAATCACTCTACCACATCCAACCGTCCGTTACAAGAAAAAAACAGGCATATGAACACGGTAGCGTTGAGGGGGTGTTTAGACAATAGGCGTAAAGTTTTGACGTGTCCCATCATGTATTATATAGAGTGTTGTATAGGGTGCTCGGACACTAATAAAAAAACTAATTACAGTATTTATTAGTAAACCACGAGACGAATTTAGTAAGCATAATTAATCAATCGTTAGCACATATTTACTGTAGCACTATATTATTAAATCATAAAGCAATTAAAGCAATTAAGTTTAAAAGATTTGTCTCATAAATAGTTGTAATATGTACAATTAATTATTCTTTAAGTCTATATTTAATACTTCATGAAGATCTTTAAATGTTCGATTTGAGGGTGTAAAATTTTAGAGTGTCATTGGCTCGCGCGCCGTGCAACGCGACACGCGGGGAAGACAGACACACAGCGTACGGTAGGGGGTTTGGTGAGTGGCACGCCGGTGAGCGTACGAGAGGAGAGAAGGCGCGAGAGGGCTGGGCGATCCGTGCGCAGTGGGTGCAGGTGCTGAGCTGCATTCCACCGAGAGCCGAGAGGGAGAGAGGGAGAGGGAAGGGGCCAGGGGAGCATGTTGCATGTGCGAGCGTGCGATGCACTGCACTGCTCTGGGCGAGCGCCCAGGCGAGAGGCTCTGGAGCCTGGGCCATGTCGTACAACAAGGCTACTCCTACATGGAGTACATCGCGTGCTGGGGCACGTCACGCCGCCCCAGGCTTTGTCGGATCGGCTTGGAAAAAATCAGCGCCCCAGCAAGCAGCTGGAGGCCTTGAGTACTCCCTGCACCATCCATTCTTAAAAAAAAAATATAAAATCAAACTCTAAAAATAAACCTGAACATATGTTCCTACAAATTCATCCCAAAAATTAATTTATTATGATACAGAGTGAGTACGTTTTAAAATAAATAAATCTAATATAGAATATGATACACCCTAACACTATTTAGATTCGTAGAACTATAATGTGTCACGTTTTGTATTAGATTGATTTATTTTAAAACGGATAGAATAGACTTGAGCATTTTCGTCTCTTCTTTATTTTAGTCTTTTCCCCTCTTTCTTGGCATAAGTTGGTCTGACTGATTGCGTCGTGTAACAAACATTATATTATTCTAATATATTGACGTGTAATCCTTTTGCACGTTCGAGAAAAAAATAGACTAGAGGAGAACAGAAAGTAAATCTTAAGGACTTAAAAAGTGAATTATGTTTTTCTTACAAACCCAAGAATGTGTTCAAACCTTGGTAACTCATTCTAAATAGCTCATTAGTGTATAATTAATTAAGGAAGCTGCTATATCATAAGGTCCCGTCTGGACACGATGATGCCGTATAGGTATCGAATCCTAATACTTCTGATACCTATGATGTATCATGGATATATCATGTGATACTTCACGGTATCAAACGACAACACATAGGTATCGACTAATTATCCGTTGATATCGTGCCTAATAACGATCAGTATCAGGCCCTGACCATACCGGTTGGTATCAAGTATCAACCCGATTCTTAGATACCATGATGTATTGTACCATGCCTCTGCCCCTCTCTCTCTCTCCTCCTTCAATCCACCTGTACATCCTACTTCTCTTCCGTCTTTAACACCAAACAAACTCCTCCCTAAATTTACTCCCTTTCTCCTGTATAAAGAACAAGAAAGAGATAAAATAGTTTGTGGTTGAATATATGAATCCGTGGATGGAAAATATCCCACTTTTATCTCACGCGGGAGAATCAACTGCGCTAGCAACAACATTTTGTTGCAAATCGGCTGGCGTCCTTCCGCCGGGCCAGGTTAATAATACTCCCTCCGTTTCAAAATATTTAACGCCGTTGACTTTTTAGCACATGTTTGACCGTTCGTCTTATTCAAAAAATTTAAGTAATTATTAATTCTTTTCCTATCATTTGATTCATTGTTAAATATATTTTTATGTAGGCATATAATTTTACATATTTCATAAAAGTTTTTGAATAAGACGAACGGTCAAATATGTGCTAAAAAATCAACGGTGTCAAACATTTTGAAACGGAGGGAGTATTTTGTTGCGCGCGTTGCCGCTTCTCTAATCCAATTTCCACCCATATCAAGCTCACCTGAGTCAACGATGACAAGGGAGTACTGCATCACCAGATGCCCAGGCGGCCAGGCCGACGACTCTGCAGGACAGCTCATGTTTTTGGGAAAGGCTAACTCGCGCGTACGCGTTGCCCGCGCGCACGCCGGCCCATTAAGACCCATGCACACACGCGTTTCCGTTTCTCTCTTTTTTTTTCTTTTTTTTACGCCGCAGTTTCTTCTTTTTTTCGATGTTTGTTATTCCTCCCGTACGGATAGATTAGTTCCATATTTTTACTAGTGATTAGTTTACTAGTAATTTTTAAATCTTAACTTCGAAATTTTCAAATCTCGAGTTGAAAGTTTTTAAATTTCTAAGTTGAAAGTTTTCAAAATTTTCAAATCTGGACTTGAAAGTTTTTGAATCGAGTTGAAAGTTTTCAAAATTTTCAAATCTGGACCTGAAAGTTTTCAAATCTCGAGTTGAAAGTTTTCAAATCTGAGTTCAAAGTTTTCAAATCTTAAGTTGAAAGTTTTCTAAACTTTCAAATTTGGACTTGAAAGTTTTCGAATCTGAGTTGAAAGTTTTCAAATCTCGAGTTAAAAGTTTTTAAAATTTGACTTTAAAATTTAAATCTTAAATCAAAAGTTTTCAAATCTGACTTAAAATTTTTCAATCTGTTAGTAAAAAAATCTCCCGAAAATTTTTTCCCTAATTACTCGTCATTAGTGTTAAGTGGGTGTTAACTAATATTAGTTAGGGAGGTAATACTACTCTATAGAGTAGTTAGGGAGGTGCTCGCTGCTGGCGCGCACGCGCCAGCTAGCAGCCCCCTATGTTTTTTCCAAGGGAACAGCGGACAGCTCGCCATCGGGTAGGCCCAAGCATGGCCCACCAGCCATCGGGCCGGCATGGCCCGGTCGGCACTTTGTGCCAGGCCATGCCGGCCCATGGGCTGCACCTCCGACCCAGGCACGACCCACCAGCAGTCAGGCCGTGCCGTACCGGCCCGAAGGCACGGGTGGCCTATAGTACCTCTTTTAAAATAAGTCTATTTTCCCTCCCTCCCTTTTGGGCTGTGACACACATATATAGCTAAAATAAGTCTATTTTACGTCCCTATTCTTTGGACCATGGCATATAATATGTCTATTTTTACTCCCTATTGTGTGTCGGGCCTGGCTGGCGACCCATCCATCGTGCCGTGCCGGCCCAACGTGCCCGGGGGGGGGGGCAGGCACAGCCCGGCGGTCGGGCCCGGCCCCCGTCGGGCCGTGCCGTGCTTGGGTGGAGCCAAAATGGCATGCCATGGGCCAGGTCGTCGGGCCTTATGGCCATCTATATCTTCAGGTCCGTGCATATGGGCCAGCCTGCAGGCCCGTCTATCCTTAGACCATTTACTGCACTCCTATGTGACGTATAAACTCGTCCAGCCATGTAAAGACACTGGGCTGTCATGGAAGGAAAAATAGGTGGGCCCATGTGTTAACGACCAAATTGCTTCTCATGTCTTATGTTGGCTACAAGATCCTCGCCTGCAAGCATCTGACACAGGGCCCAAGTCGGCGGGGAGGGGAGAAGGGGAAGTGACGGCGCTACACG